TCCATCCTGGTCATTGAGAATATGATTCATGATAGTTAGGGATAGGATGGAAACGTCTAAATGTACATTTAATTATTTCCTGTATTCACCCTGTTCAGGAACAACAACTAAATTTGTTGTTTCTGAGTCTAGGATTAAAAAGAAAGTAATGTCCTAATGTCCAGACAAAAAATTCAAATCCATAGGGCCTGTGATGACCCCCCCCCTCTCTCTCTCTCTCTCTCTCACACTCACACACACACTAAGGTTTTGAATACCCTTAAACCTGTCTTAGCATAATAATAAAGAGATATCTTGGTGTTGAGATAACTGTAGTTGAAATGAGTTTATTATATATTTGAATGTATTATGTCATATATTCAATCATAATTTAATGTAGACATATGGTAATCACTGAATACTAATAATTGAAACCAAATGTAGCCATACAGATTCTGATTTACTGAAACTTATTGAACCTGGTTAATGTGATTAATAGAAACGGAAATCAAAGGGAAACATAATTGAACTAAGTAAATAAATGAAACCATCTGAAAGTAGAGGATAAGGGAAACCCAATGGAACCTCAAAGGAATCTGGGTAACTGAAACTCACTGGAGCCCTACAGGAATCTGGGTAACGGAAACGCACTGGAGCCCTACAGGAATCTTGGTAACGGAAACTCAATGGAACCTTACGGGAATCTGGGTAACGGAACGCACTGGAGCCCTACAGGAATCTGTGTAACGGAAACGCACTGGAGCCATACGGGAATCTGGGTAACGGAAACACACTGGAACCCTACCGGTTTATGGTTAATTTGTAAGTTTCCGTTTTCCGGAAACTTGAAGGAAATGTAGAGAAACGGTCCGGAAACCTAACTGAAACATAAGTTTCCATTTCATTTTCCGTTAAGTTATATTTCATGTGTGACGGCCCACAGTTTGCTTATACAATGTATGTCCTATCCCCCAATATCAACCGGTAACCGAAAACAATTGTTGGATATGTCATGCATTCCTTCTCTAAAATAATATTCAAACCTACATGTAAACCAGACTCATTTTCAAAGGTAATTGTTATTTACGACCATATTTTACTCATTGATAGTATCTATTACCTGTACCCAACTCATGTATGCACCGAATGTCTGGAACCAATATTTCTCATTACTTAAATTTTACGACAATCCTGTTTCTTTTACGCGTTCTGTCCTTGGTCTTAACCAGTTACTGGGCGATGTCCAGTCACTATATCGTTCTTGTAAACTACACTGTGTAACGTTGGAGTGTAAATCCAAAAGTCATATATTTTATCAAAGCAGGTTTTCTATTATGACAATATACCCCTTGAAAGTGTTGCAGAATTTAATTATGTAGGTTTATGATTTAAATCTAATGGAAACTTGTCACCAGCTATTAACATATTATCGGATAGAGGCGTGTAATGCTTTACTCAGAGAAGTTAGGACCAATAAGATAAATGTGAATGTTGCGTTAGAATTATTTGATGACTGTGTTGTACATGTACCTGTTTGCATTATGGTTTTGAGATTTGGGGATAGAAACAGGCAGAATGTTTTCATCGTAGATATTGTAAAAATATTCTCGGCGTTAAAAGTAGTACAAATAATTTATTAGTGTACGGTGAACTCGGAAGATTCCCACTTGGCATACAGCGTGAATTACAGATGGTTAAGTTTTGGTACAACCAATCAGAAAATTGCATTATGAGGGAAGTGTATTCTACTTTAGATGAAAGATCTGGGTGGTATTCTAAAGTAAAATATATCTTAATGAGCAACAGTTTTTATTATGCATGGCTGCCTCCCTTAGAGATAAATGTTCCAGTTTTCATGCCTTTATTAAAACGACTACAAGATAAATTTACTACTTATTGGTACCAAGAGATGAAAATTCTACTACTTATATGCTATTCAAACAATTTAAGGTGACATTTGGCTTCGAAATTTATTTAGTTAATGTTATAAATTGTAACCACAGGTCTGCATTATGCAAATTAGGATTATCATCTCATACATTATTAATTGAAACTGGTAGACATGGTAGTAATAAAATCCCACGGGATGAAAGAATTTGTACTAACTGTAATCTTAATGACATAGAAGACGAATTTCACTTTTTACTCAAGTGTCCATCATATGCTCACCTAAGATCTATTCATTTAAAGAAATATTACTGTAAACATTATTCAGTCTATAAATGTGTACAGTTATTATCATCAGAAAATATTAATACTCAACGCTCTCTAGGTAGACATGTGTATGAAGCATTACGTGTTAGAAACAACTTTTAACTTAATAATAATGTCATCCTCACCATCCAACATAATTATTATCTATATTGTATGTATGGCCTGAGGCCCATGTGGCTTGCGTCAATAAAATCTGTCTGTCATATACTATGTGCCAGTATTATTCATTGTAAAACAGTGTGCGGCTTCAGGCTATAAATGTTTATGCAACGTTTGTGCAATATAAAATGCTATATTAAAACAGGCTATAGATTGTCAGCAACCGAATGTGGAGACCATGCGGTAATTCTACGATTAAATTAAACGTAAATTTATCTTTGAATGACGAAGTCTTACATATTGTCTCATGAGGACAACACTTTTACAATACTTCCCCTTTGGCGACAATGCCACTATTGATTATAAAACAAAATCATTGCATTTACAAAACATAGTAAACACAATATTTCGAACAGTTCTGTTATTAAAGATAGCTTATGCCTCTCTCTCAAGACAACCGAGAAGGTGCACAACCAGTTAAATCAGGTGTGACCGATTATCACCTGGAAATAAACTAACCAAATCCTCTATTGAGCGAATAACCTTGACTACGTTGATTTGGGAGAAATAGACATAGCTGAAATATCAATCTTCAGAGGTCCAAACTGAAAGCAAATATCACCTGACGTTTATCGAGCAAACAATATGAGAAATGCTTGGCTTCCTCATTCATAACAACTATGCCAAATTTGGGCGTAAATCATGTAGACAAGGAGTGAGCATCCTCATGAGTAATAGTTCGTCCCCTAGCGGATCTGTTCTTAATTGCATATGAATCCACAATTCCTGCACATACTTGTGATATATCTGAAATTGTATGAATCTTTTTGAGATTTCTTGTGATAATGAACAAGTTTGTTTGTGGCTTTGTTTGTTTATTAGCACACACAAGGTAGGCACATGTTTGCTTTTACTGGTAATAATTTAAAACAAACCCCTGAGTACTGTAATCAACGTATCAAAGTCTGTATCTGAGAGCTAACACCACGTAACCCACACGTTCAAACTTTAAGCCCCGCTGATTTAATTAAACAGCAGTTTGCAAGCTCATTATAATTGTGACAATTGCATTACTTGGCTTGAAAGCACACATGAAAAACGTTCAGTCAATAATGAATCCCTAGACCCTATACTTATCCAGGCAAACCACCCCTCCCCCCAAGAAATCTTAGGTTATATATATGGGGTTAGTTGGTACCCGTCGATGGCACGATTCATTGGTTTCACGCTCTTTGATGTGGTCGGAATTGAAAACTAATGTCTGGTTATTGGCAGTGTTTTCTGAAGACAATGAAACGGGGTCTGTCGCTTTTATCAATATTAATGGATTGTATATTACGGTATATTCAAGTGTCTTGGTATTCATTTGCTTTCTTACTGCTTATATGAATTTCCATATTCTAAAAACATGGAAGACGTCGTGTCTATTTTCGTTTGAAAGCGTTTGATACATTTCCGTCTTCGAAAATGTCTTCCAGTACACAGATACATTACTTGTTAACTTTACAAAATCATATGTTTATGATGTCACATGGCATTAGGTCCTTTCCTCTCTCTAATAATTTCCAAAGATAATGACTCATCGCTTCATCGGTCATAAGTAATTTGGTCTTGATAACGTCATTGTACAGCTTGTTTGATCAGGGATTTATGAACCTATAATTGTTGAATAGTCAATGCAGGCTATACTCATTACCACCTTAACATACTCATTTAAAACGTTAACATTTAATTTCTTATTGAAGAATTTCAGTGCCAAACAAGTGCGTTGGAACTGTATATGTATCCTTTAAGTAACCCAACATAATGACATGTATTGAATTATCGAGCAAACGGAACATGTATCAGATGACCTTGTCAAAATCAATACAGCCCAATTTGGCTATTATTAGGGCTTTACAAACAAACGGCTGTTCAATAAAATTTTGATGTGACGAATGAACCGAACGAAAACGTATTTTGATTCAAACAGAATGTAATTCTTGTACGTAAGTCGTCTTTACCACACGTATCGGGACAGCTGTTTATCAGTTTGTAAGTAATATTATTGTATTACACTTTCACGTACATAACTGAGTGTATATTTATGTAACACATGTTTGATTATGTAGCGTTAAATATGGCTATTATTCAGAGGTATCATTGCTGCATCAGTCATACTCACCTTGATAGAAACATGTAAGAGTGTCAGTTTTTAAGTACAGAAAGAGCTTGTTTCAAAGATTTATTTCACTACCAGGCACAATTGCTTCATGAAACACCTTGGGTTTATGCTTGTTTTGGGTAATAAAAGAAGCTAAAACGATTACGATATGTGTCAATATACTCGGTTCCAAACTGTTTAATTCTTTCAATATGATTTGTTGCCCTTAGCCTTAAGTTTATTATGATAGAGAAATCCTTTCACAAAAGAGTCTGATTACCTTAGTTTAGTTTCTCGTTTTCACGCGTGATAGCAGGTTCAATATAGACGGCTAAAAGAACAGGTAATTGAACATTGAGAACCAAGCCCATTCTTTCTGAATATAAGATAAAATTATTGAAAAGATCACCACTTTATACATGGAATGATTTCCGAATCCCTACTGTATGACGGTATGGTATTGGAAAATACATTAACTGGCTGACATAACCAAATTAAATTAGTTCTTCCTTTATGTTCGTTATAACCTCATTTTACTGTAGCCACTATTCTCCATATTGTCAGAGACTAGATCATGGCACTTGTGCGACTTCAGCTCCACCTGTCTCTGGTGCACTTCCTCCCCTCGGACATAGCTCCACCAACAAATCTGGACAACGTGTTGGACTGCTTCAGCTCTTGCTTGAGACACCAGCAGTGTGTCTCCCTGATTTACAGCAGGAACAACAAACAGTGCTACACCTATCCAGGCAGGCTTGAAGTTCCCTTCTGGGGAACTGACATCAATACTGACTTGGACATTTACAACACCAACAGAGGTAAGGGATATCCCTGGCTAGTGTGTTCCATAAAAGTGATTAAAATAGCGTCATTAAAGCGTTTGGATACACATCAGTGTACACGGAGCCATTCTGCGTGAATACAGTCAGTACGTATGATTTTACGCCGCTTTTAGCAATATTCCAATGGGACAACGGAAATGTGTTTCGAACCCGGGTCTTCGTCCTCACGAATGATCGCTTTAACCAATATACCAACGCCCCTCTGAATACATCGCTCTGTAAGTCACAGCTATTGTACAAAATAGCATGCTCGATTGCATCTTGACAAAATTGAAAAGTTGAAGTCATCAATTTATTCATTATTGTGGGAGCCTTTTAAAACTCTTTATTACATACATTACAATGTACACGTGGCCCTTCTGCGTGAATACAGTGAGTGCGTATGATTTTAGCTTTTAGTTGACATCAATAGTGACGTGGCCATTTACACCACCAACAGAGGTGAGGGAGATAGTCTGGCAATATATCTGCTCAAACCGATTTTTGATTATCTTTTCCCCAAAAGTGATTGAACTAACGTCATTCATTCCATTAGATACACCAAGATTAACTCGTCGTTTTGCGAAAACACAATGAATGAGTAAGTGTGTATGTTTTTATGCCGCTTTAAGCAATATCCCAGCATTATCATGGCAGGGGACACCAGAATTGGTTTCACATTGTACTGGAATCGAATTGTGTCCTCGACGTCACGAACAATCACTTCGACCATCAAAATGAACTTGTCTTTTTACACGGAGACCTCGAATACAATGAGTGGGTATGATTTTACAGCAATTAGTAATAATCCAGCAAAATCGATGCAGGAGCAAGGACTTCAACATTCAAGCGTATGTGAAGCTTCTTGGCTAAATTTGAATTTGCCAGTCTTAGAAGATATTCAGACGTGCATACATGAAGAAGCAGTAGAGTAAAAGGAAGAAAGGGACGCACAACTCATGCCTTTTGCTTGCCTAAATATCATACGCTGAAACACAGGTTATTCTCCGACCTAACACATCAGTGTTTGTTAGATTGTGTGAAGCCCCTTTCAGACTGAGTCTGCTTCAATAAAATTCAACCTTGTTACCTCGGACCTCGTTATTCCATAACCTGCGACCCTATCCTTGGAAAAAGCTATCTGGATATAGACATTACTCATTAAAAACTGTTAATTTATGCGGACAATGCCGGACATTATATTCTGCATTTCTGATAACCCTCAATGAAAAGGAGTAGCAAAGATTCACGGTATCGCCTTATGCTTCATTCACTCAGAGTGTCATCTGTTTTTATTTTTGTGTGTGACCAATTTCCGTGGCTGTAATAGAGAATGTTTATTTCAGATGGATATGGTTGTCCAAGTCATCTTGGATATGATTTCAATTCCACGATGAATGTGTGTTTCAAAATACACGGTGACGTTAAAACGTCGCGCTCTTCGGCTACTAGCATCTGCGTGTCTGAGGGAGGTCATCTCATCAGAATCAATTCAAGTGCAAAGGATGAACTCATATTTGTCATTTGGACAGATGGAATTGGTAAGCATTCTCAGGAAGAATCAAAACAATTACCTCAAATATCAATTTATACAAGTCTATTTTATATTTTCCCGATATTTGCATGTTGTTATGGTATTGTGTGATAGGAGTTGTTTCTAGTCAGTGCCATTATGTGTAAAAATATCTATATTATTGCAAACGACACAACCATCAATTTACGAATCGCATAAGTATTTAATGGAGGTCCCACATCAGGCCCGATTTCTCGAAACAACTTAAGTTAGAGATTTTACTCAAATTTGACCAAATGCATTTTCCAGAATGAACTGAAATCGATATTAAACTTTAAACATAGTAGACAATTTGAGTTTGGTGGATAGATTACTTAAGTTGTTTGGGCTTTTTTATTTTAAAAATGCAGTTGAGTTAAACATTCAGCTGTTTCAAATTGTCAAACTCAGTTTGAAATTTGAGTATAAACTTAAGTTTGTTTCGAGAAATCGGGGCCAGAACCTTTAACCATGATAACTCTGCTGTATCCCAACATACACTATTTATCAATACAATTGTACAGGGGAACCGCGCATTCTATATTTTGGTAGATTGCGTCACGATGGCAATACTATACTGAGTCAAAAAAGAAACTTCACAAAATGTAATTTGAAAAAATAATGAATAATTTTTCTCTGATGATACATCTATGTATCCGAACTGAGAAAAACGATAGCAAAACCCACTCAAACCCATCCATTCGTCGTGCAAATGACGTTAGTGCCAAATCAGGTTTTGCACGTGCAGTCGATCACGTGATCTTTGCATCGAAGTTTTCTTCATATGCACGTGTTTGCATTGGCCTCAAGAATTGAAAAAACACTTTCAAACCACAGTTCTAACGGTACTTGAAATGCCACGGTTGTCAAATGTGCAACGTGAACGTGCCGTTGGCATGTTGCAAGCGGGAAGATCAGTTATTGACGTCGCAAGAGCAATCGGATGCAGCCGTCGTACTGTGTATGACTTGCGAGGTCGTCTACAACAAACTGGCACCACTTCTGATCGCCCAAGGTCGGGTCGTCCACGTGTGACGTCACGAGCAGAAGACCGTCAAATCGTCCTACGTCACCTACGTGACAGATACACGGCTACACGAACCAGGGCTGAGATGTTTAGAGGTCGACTGTCCTCACAGACCATTCGAAATCGGTTGCGGGCTGCCAATCTCCATTCTCGACGTTCATATCGTGGGCCAATACTGACGCCGTTTCATCAACGTCAACGTCTGCTGTGGGCCCAACGTCACCTCCGATGGACCCAGAGAGACTGGAATCGAGTCGTCTTTAGCGATGAATCCAGGTTTAACCTCAGATTCGCGGATGCCCAATGTTGTGTACAGGAAGTCGACAGATTCGGGGGCGAGAGTTGCATGGTGTGGGGTGCTTTCTGATGGAACAACCGTTCCCAACTTCTGGTCATCCGTGGAAACCTCACAGCTGCTGCTTACCGCGACCAGGTGCTCATCCCTGAACTCGTTCCTTTCATGGCGGCTCATGGTCCAGGACTACAGTTCAAGCATGATAATGCTCGGCCGCATACCGCGATGTTGACACGAAATTTCCTTCAAAACGCTGGAATCAACGTCATGGACAGGCCATTGAGGTCCCCTGACCTTAATCCAATAGAGCACGTTTGGGATGCTCTTGGGAGAAGGCTTCGTGGTCTTAGGAACCAACCTCAGAATTTGCAGGAACTTGGCGCTGCCTTGCAAGAGCAATGGCGCAGAATCCCCAACCACGTATTCACAAGCATCAGGCAGTCGATGAGGAGACGGTGTTTGGCAGTGGTGAATGCGCGGGGCGGCCATACACGATATTGAACTGAGAAATTTCGCATTTATATTCTTGTGACTTGACATTCTGTACACCCATGGTTTGGAACGGCGGTGTAGCCTAATGGAACTTATTATGGCACTGTCAGTGTATCGAGTACATCACACAGATCTCAGCAATGAAATAATAACAATTTAACCATCTTACCATCTCTTGTTCTTTTATAGTGCCCTGAAGAAAGAATGTGAAGTTTCTTTTTTGACTCAGTATATATGCTACTGATTGCATCTTTATCTACGACTCTTTTTGTATATTACATCAATTTATAGCGACACAACATATTCTGTAATCATACGAAATCCAAACTATAAGGATCGGTTGGGCGAATCTGACTGTATCGTGCACATATATATGATACCAGGTGTTTATGAAAAACGAAACACGACAAAGCACGGAAACATTTGGTAAAACACAATACAGGATTTGTATCCGACAAGACTGTAAGTCACTGATGCCTCACATTTCCCTGTATTTGTGTGGAATGAAGTCACCAACAGTTGCCCTAACAGTGCAGGAACCTCTACCCTATGAGAATTGCTCTTTTCAATATCCGTAGCTTTGTTTTTGAAACACTAAAGTTTAGGTTTGTAGTCAATGTGGCAATACGATGTCACCTGGTACAGTGAAAGAAAAAACGGCACAATTTTTAAAAATTTTGGTCAAGTGTCAAGTCACCTATCATGTGAACTTATATCTGGATAATACGATGTATGGGTAAAATAATTAAAGTATGTGATGCACAATTTCAACATATATACAATTAGACAATATGGAAACAAACTTTGAGAGAAAAAAGAGGCACTTAGTATTTATGATTTTGTACATAACCAATAATCTCATGTAACATTGATGTAATATTGTTAATTAACATTTCACGTGTTTTAAGGAAGCTGAACTAAATGACGTCATTTACACACAATTTCAGTTCATATCGATGGCATGTGTACAGCAGGCGAAGGCTGGAAGTACTCAAATGGTGACAACGTAACCTACTTCAGATGGCAGCAAGGTGAACCTAATAGCGCCTGCGGTGTTGGATGGGGGGAGTGTTTGGCCTCAGTTTGGTCTGGGTTTCACGACGCTGCATGTGTCTATGAACTTCCTTTCATATGCGAAATTGATATGTAAATCATTGTAAAGTACAGAAAGATTTAATTGTCCAGATGTCAAATCTAATGTGAGTTTCAATCGACACGTTTTTAATCTGGAGGATATACTGTAGGCCTCCAGAGAAATGACTGTCCATGGGTAAAATTATTTTGGCATGTGGTGCCCAATTTGAACAAACATGAAATTAGAAAATGATTTGACAGAAAACAAGAGACACATATTTTGGTTTTGGGCGTGACCAGAAATCTAATAAGATGTTGATGTAAAGCTGATTATCAAAATATCACATTTGTTTTGGGAAGCTCATCTTAAAGACAATTTCAGTTCATATCGATGACATGTGTACAGCAGGCGAAGGCTGGAAGTACTCGAATTGTGATACTGTAACCTACTTCAGATGAAGGCAACGTCGACCCAATGGCAACTCTGACGAATGGGAGGGACGTCTGATCTCTGGTTTCATTGACCTCAGCTGTAGCTATCAATATCCCATCATAAACGATTTGTATTTAGTAACGATTACTCCTCCGGATCGATCTGAACTGTATACAACACTAGCTGGCATCGGTATGTTTTCTACTCCTTCACTATTTTTCTTTTTGGTGGTTTGAACACTTTGATTGTATTGGATACGTTTCCTACAAACAGCACTCAGTTGTCGTCAAATATTGGAAATTGTTTTCAACACAACTATTAGTATTGAGAGTGTACTGTGACCAGTTATTCAATGTGGTAAAAGACACAGCCAGCTAACCAGCTATCAAGATTCTTGTTGACGCATAAAAGAGCGTTACAGAAGAGTGGTGATTTTTAGTTGACATATTCATGTGGTAGTACATGATAGTATATGGTGAAAAGACTGAAACGGACATAACAAGATCGAATTAGTTCAACAATAGTTCTGTCAGTTTAAAAGGTCATTGAAATTAATCTGTACAAAATCTTTTAGCTTATTTATATTTCTTACGTTATACATTCTAATATGAGGCAAAGAGTGCATTTAACTCATGGAAATGATTCCTACATGAATAATCAATAAAGAGAAAATTCAATCATATTTTCAGTGAAGTTAAATTCTGTGACCTCTGCCAATGGAGCCAAAACATAGCAAGAGTTCAAATCATTTAAAAGTACATTTAAAGCTAATTTCCTGACTAAAAGTTATGATCAAAGTGAAAAAAAGCCTTACTCAGATGAAAGAAACAAAACTTACACTGTGGGCACTGTAAAATTGTCTGACTTTAGTTAATTGGTTCCTAAATTGAGCTGCTGGGTAGCAGACGACATCTTGTTGGTGAGGACTCACAAATCTATCTCCACTGGGAAGAGTTCTACTGGGGGAGGTAACTCTATAGCTGATAAACTGACTGAATTGTCCATAAAATCGTTAATGGTTGTAACAGAACAGAGAGTAAGATGAATGTTTAAAATCAAGGAACAATGGTCATTTAGTCTGCACATATACGTTCAGCACATACATTCAGTTTTCAAAATGCTTTTGGTGTTTGGGTACATGCTATGCGGCGATTGGTCGAAAAACGAATGTACCTTGGATAGAAAGTTGCAATAAAAGTTGTCACCCCCATTTATGATGGACATTATTATGTTTTAAGAAATAGGGCACTGAAAATTTCTAATAATATGTAACTCCTTACAACTAACGTTTTCTGCAATAGCTATTTTTCATTTTTCAACTTAAAATCGTGTGTCAGTCGTGTTACCTTCACTGTGTGTATGGCTCTCTCAGGTGGCTTTTGATCACCTTGTACACGATAATTGCGCCAGCATAAGTTAAGAAATGTATAGTTATATAGACTGAACAGTTTAGTAATTCCAATGGTTTAGTCTCTATTCGCCTACATCTCAATTCGCCTTCAACCCATATCGCATACAAAAACAATGTAGGCTAATTGGGATAAGAAAATGCACCCCCATACTCTTATAATGAGCCTGGCTCGCTTGTCAGGGCGGTGTCCTCCCATTAGTCATACGCCCCACTAGTCATACGGGTTAAAACAACATATGGTATGGTTGACTGCACCAACAACTACCTTTGTAACACCTTCGTAAAAATAAAGTGGAATGATCCAAAAGACAAAAGTACAGCTTCACATTAGTGAACTTAAATAATCTGTCTCCAGCATAGTATACATGGATAATCTGATTTTGAGCATAATAAACATACATAATCTGTACACTTAAACTGTATCACTAACACATTATTCTTTATTTCAAAAACTTCAATAACTTAAATAACTTAAATTCACAGTATCGCATGTTGTATACCTCGCCTAGAGGTAAGTATTCCACTTCAATCAATCCTGCCATGATAACAAGAGTGATATGCTATATTTTATGTAGCCATTTTGATGTAATAGAACAAAACTTAATTTATATGTTAGTAACAGATTTCTTGGCGTTAAGACAAGTACATCTAGTGTTATGGTTTATGGTGTATGTGGTAGATTGCCGATGCACATATTTTCTCAAGTTAAGGCTATCAAATAATGGTTAGGATTGTTGAACATGCCTGCATATAGATTTCCCAAAATGCGTTACAATATGATGATAGCTTATGAAAATAATTTAAAAAATAACTGGGTAACGAATATATAAACGTTGCTGTTTTAAACTGGTTTTGGAAACGCATTGTATGAGCAAAACGTTAGATGCTACCCTAATTTTATCATGTCACTCTATCAAACAAATATTTCTTTTACAAACCTTTTAAAGCGCTAATAAGTTTCGTGTGGCACCTCGCTAAGATAACAGTAATGACGTTCCGAGTTGCATAATCACGTTTTCGATGTTCATCTCATGATTTATTTATAGAGACTGAACGCTATAGTAATATTAATCGACAAGAGAGACCATGCCAACTATGTGATTTAAATACTGTCGAGGTTGAGTACCATTGCCTTTTTGTTTGTCCGCTGTACTCAGATCTTAGAAGAAAATATTTACCAAATCATTTGTATAGATATCCTAACGTTATTAAATTTATATCATTACTAACACGTTGGCAATCTATAGCCTGTTTTTATATTGTATTGTCATTTAAAGTTCCAATATTTTAGATTTAATTGCTAGTTTTAAATGGATATCTGTGCTACACTAGCAGTTTTACTGTTCTTCGTCAACAGGTTTTTTAATTTCTAACTTTATTGATCTTTACTATAATTATAAAATGTTCTCGTCACGATATGGCTGAAATATTGCCGATGTGACGATAAATCTTAACTCACTCACTCACTCATTACTAACAAGTAGGGCTCTGACGGGTACTCGAGTACTCGGCAACGGGTCGGGTATGGCAGGACTCGAGTCCAAATTCCAGGACTCGAGTACCCGACAAAGGGAGATAATTCTAAACTAAACGTGACAACGTGTGCAGTGATGGATCAGAAAAGGTCGAACGTATGGGCCCATTTTGATCTTGACACTTCAAAACACAAAACCAAGTGTCGCCTTTGCGGCATTATGCTGTGTTATGCAGGGAGCTCAACAAGCTCAATGAGAAAACATCTTAACATGAAAACACAAGTCCGTTAGTGTGGACGATTCTTCCCAAAATCCAGTCAAAAAGCAATCCACGCTGACGCAGGGATATTTGTGGGGTTACAACCGAAAAAAGCTTGACTTAAAAACATACGAGACACTCACACGCAAGGCCATGATGATGTGCTTTAGAAACCTTAGACCTTCATTAAAGGTAAAGGTTTTCGTGATTTTTGTCACTCACTGAATCCCAGTTATATATACCAAGCAGCAAAAGAAACGTCAGTTTGGAATTGTCCTTCACAGAAACGGATAACTGTAAACTCATTTAATGTTTTGATTGTATATTTTTGACAACATCTCCAACTTTACCCGAGCAAAGACATTCCTTCCCAAACTCAGAATGGAACCCAGGAAATGGTCTCAAAAACGCAACCTGATCTCGGAGATGGTACGGTGTTCTCCATGTTTTTCATGCAACTCATGCTGCATGTGCTGTTCACAAGGACCAGCCCTATAGAATGCACACCCCAAACCTGGTTGAAACATTCACATTACAACGTCAGCAGGATGCCGCAACTCACGACAGCTCAGAGGAACCAGGCGCTAGGAAGACTTGAAGCTGGCCACACTGCACAAGCCGTTGCCAATCACATCCAGGTCAACGTTCGGACCATCTCCAGGCTGCAGCAACGTTTCCGGGCCACCAACACAACAAATAATCGCCCCCGCACTGGTGACCAAGGCTGACCACAAGGCGACAACTGCTATGTTGTGCGACAGCATGTACAGAATCCCTTCATGCAGGCATCCGAAACAGCACGCCAGACAGTTGGAACACATGGAAGACCAATCAGTACTGATACAGTTCGCCGATGTCTTAACAGCGGGAACCTCCATTGCCGTATACCTTACCGTGGAGCTATCCTCACCCCTCGTCATCGGCATGAACGTCTACAGTTTGCCCTACAACATCAAAACTGGCGATACAGGCAATGGAGTACTGTTCTGTTCAGATGAGAGTCGGTACTGCGTATCAACTGCAGATGGCAGAACAAGAATATGGCGACGACGTGGCCAGCATTACTCAGACCAATGTGTGTGAAAGAGACTCATGGGGAGGTGCAAACATCATGGTATGGGGTGGAATAGTCCTGAACCAGAGGTCCTGTGGTGTTCCACAACCTTGGTCCAGGGAGAGGAGGCGGCATCACAGCGGTGAGCTACATCGACCAAGCTATACCACATTTCGCACGTCACCGGAACAACATTTTCCAGCTTGATAACGCCCGGGCCCATACTGCCAGAGCTACATGGGACTTCCTACAGCAGAACGGTGTCAATGTTATGCAGTGGCCAGTCCTTAGTCCTGATTTAAACCCAATTGAACATCTTTGGGATGAAATTCAGAGGAGACTGAATAATGTCATACCAAGGCCGAACACAGCCGATTTGTTGCGCCAGGCCTTTCTCAGTGTGGTTCCAAGTACCAATGGGCTTCATCAATCGATTGGTGCACTCCATGCATAGACGCTGTGCTGCAGTTACACTAGATACTGAAGTCAAAGGTCTGAATGGACTGCAAACGTTCACGTAATGTCTTTAAATTCTTCTGAGTTATTCATTGATGTGTCAAGATATTGTACACAAACATGTTTTTGATCCGCTTATGTCAAATTCTGTAATGATTTGATTACAGTGCCTATCTAATTTTGAATTCGTACTGACGTTTGTTTTGCTGCTGAGTATAGTAACATGCCCAAAGACCCTCCATGATTACCTTATGAAGTAATATGCCGACACCAAAATTCAGCTTCAAGATATTCTATAGCAGTAACCTGGCG